CTATGAAATGAAAGATAATTAGTTGTCACCAAGTTCATAGCTGACATTTAACAAGCTATCTTTCATCCTTCGAGAAAAAGTTTTAAACTAACTCCAAAACTGTTCTTATGGCACATGCTGGGTCATAGTAGCATGATTTTGTTTTATTTTGCTGTTTTCAAGAAAAAACAAAATGAAACAAAACAACCCCCCCCAAAAAAAAAAAAACAAAAAAACCCACCAGTACATTTTAGAGAGGTCAGCTATTATGTACAATTTTAAATTAATCTGTCATCAGCAAGTAGGTAGTAGGGATCTAAGCATGCCACCATTTCCCCATAGGCTTTTCCTTTGGGAATAAATTTTCTTGGGAGGAAATAGTTTTAATTGCTCAATATATCATGTGAAAAAAGAAACACTTCATTATATTAATAGCAGTGGTTTTAATTAGTGCCAAGTGAATCACTAATATGAAGCAGGTGTAAAAAAAAAAAAGAATATCAAGAGAATGAAGCAGCTTCAAGAGAGGGGATAAACCCCAGCATTCCAGGAGAAAGCTCACAATGGCAAAGATTTGTTAGCCAAAGGGTAGCTCGACTTCTAAAGATATTTATCTGATATATAAATTTAAATATTTTAAGTCTCCTTAAGGCATTTGTGCCAGAATGTGCAGCATGTCACAATGTCTCGCCAATTTTATACTGGAATTTTGCCCTTTATCTCTGTAAGAAATCTTCCAAAATTGTCTCTCATCTAATGTGGTGCTCACAGCTGAGACATCTGTGCTTCCATTCTGGACCCTCATAGCCATTGACTACTGCCATCCTTCTCAATTACTCTAAGTCTTCCTGCCTTGCACATGTATTCCTGTCTATCCTGTGTTTTAAGTGGGTCACACTATCCATTGCAGATTCATGACAAGTGTGAAAGAAAGAAGTGGATGAAGTCTTTATTAAATATCCCAAAAGAGTTTTTGGTTTGTTGGCAATCAATAACTTCAATCATAATGGGAAATATTTTAGCCTACACATATACTCATAGTTTCTCTAAACAAGTTCCAAATATTTTAAGAAATTCCTATCCCTCTTCAATTTGTTTTTGTGAGTCATGGATTGAATCAGTCTGAGTATCTTGTCATTCCCTTGCTTAAAACCCCACCATGTCTTCCCTTTGTGTTAGACCAAAAGCCAAGCTCTCTACTCTGGCCTTATGTGATTGGCCTCTGGTACCTTCTGATCTCACCCAGTGCCACTCTGCCCTTACTCGTTCTATCCCAACGTGCTTATGGTCTTTTAGTTCTTTGAAGGTTCCTGTGCATATTTACCTCAGGATCTTTGAATATTCTATTCCTTCTGCCTGAAATGCTGTTCTCCCCACTCTTTGTGTGGCTGGCTCCTTCTCATCTTTTATGTCTCACCTTTCATATAATCTCCTCAGAGAGGCCTTCCCTATGATCCTGTCCAAATCATGTCCCTCATTTCATTTTTTCTTAGCTCTGTTTTTTTTCATAACACTTATAATAACTTACAATATTTTTTCTCAATATTCGTTTTTGTGATTTGTTTGTTTTTCTCTTCCACAGAGTGGCACTTATTCAACTCACCAAGTACTTACGCAGACAATTGTTTAGTAGGCATTTACTATGGGGGAAAATAGCAACAGAAGCAACAATGATAATAATAATAATAATGTGCCAGGAACTTTTCTCAAACTTTATATGCTTTACCATATCTGATTCTCACAACAACCAAATGAGGTAGAGACTATTTTCGAGGAAGATGTAGAAAATCCAAAGATTATACAGAAAGTGGCAAATTTTGCACTTGAAATTGGATCTGTCTCACTCCAAGGGCTATTGTCTTATCTATTACTGCTTTGATAACAAAACAATGTCCCTTTACTGAAATCCTGTTCAGTGTCCTCACCAAAGGTTATCTGGATAATGTGACATAAAGGCTGAAGCTTGAGGAACTTACAGGATTTGTAGGGAGAGATGATAGGATCAGTGTAAGAAAATTATTGCCTAAGAATATATGGCTGACAGGGAGGGATCAGAGAAAGCTTTTCTTCTTTACTATTCAAACACTCTCTCTGGAACAAATGAGATGAAGTGAGCACAGTATTTTTTAATAATGGAGAAATACATTTTTAATAAATACATTTTTTATTGACTACTTTAAAAATATTGGTCATGTCTCAAGATAAATATCATGTTTGCAACTACTCCAAAAATACCCTCAAAGCAGGCAAGGGATTGTTTCTGTTGGCTCCAGGATCAGCACTCATTTGGGGACAAGAAGTAGCACCTGGAATTTACCATTTATCCCTTCCAGGGTTTTCAGTCCAGACTTGAAGTAGTCATGAAAGAATCCCAGGAAATTCTGGCCAGGAGAACTCAGTGAAAATTAAAGCCAAATGCCATGTTTGTCCAACCCTGAGAAATGCTGAGGTGAAGATTTCTTAATAATGTAAGGGAAATCAAGAGTTCATTGTCAGGAAAAAAAGAACTAACATCATAGAATTTGTCATTTGTCACTATATGAATATGTAGATGGTAGGTAGAATTAATTCAATACTGGGATGTTGAGCTTGGAGCTTGAATAACCAGAACTCAGAGTCTGAAGTCATGAATAAACAGGTCTCTGTAGTTAGACTATTTTGATTTGGAAGCTCATTCTCATGGACCTGCTGTATTTTGAGGATCAAGATATATGACTTAATTATTGGTTGTGCCCACCAATGCATGTAGAAAACCCAGCAAAAGTTAGGGAGATAAAGTTCTAATTACAAGTATAGTGGAGTTGTGTTATTCCAATTATATGAAGTTCTAGGATAGATTCTAAAAATCAGAACATTGACTGCCTCTGTGGGTGTGGGAGGTAGGGATATGGATTGAGAGGGAAAGGGGCATGAGGGAATTTTCTGGGGTGATTACAGTGTTCTATATCTTGATAAGGATTTGGGTTAACAGGTATATTCATTTGTAAAATTCATCAAATAATTTGCTTAAGATTTGTGCAGCTTATTATGTATAAAATGTACTAAGGAAAAAGAACCATAAACAGATATTGAACTTTAAATAATTGTATGAAAGATGATGTGTTTATAATGAAGGGTAGCAAAGTCTGCAACTTACTTTGAAATGCCTCAAAACATACAATGGATCAATGAATGGATAGAGGGATAGATGGACTGATAGATGTGTGATAAAACAAGTATAGTAAAATGTTTATGACTTCCTGAAAGATAGCAACTAGAGGTGCTCAGGGTACATTCATCTCACAGAAGATCAAAACAAGCCTACTGCCACCACTGCCACAGTCACTGGAACCATTGTCTGGTCCCATAACTGTCATGCATTGTAGAGCAGCTCCCTATAGAGCAGCAGTCCTGCAGGTGGCCCGTTGCTGCAGCCACAGACACCAGAGATGTCAGGGAGGTGGCTGCAACTGCCAGCACCAGTCCCACCACCTGACATAACCCTGCTGCCACTAAAGACACTGCAGACATGAGGGAGGCAGTTGCAGCCATTGGCACTGCTGCAGTCACATGAGGTAACCCGCTGCCACCAAGGACACCACAGATGTGAGGGAGGCAGTTGTAGCCGCTGATGCTTCTGCTGCTGCCATGAGGTAATGCTGTCCCACTGCCAATGTGGAAACCGTAGCTACATGGGTGGCCACTGCAGACACCACAGCCAAGCAGGCAGGTACTACAACTGCCATTGTTATAGTTGGCACCACCACTGGTGCTGCTAGGAAGCTACCATCATCATGTGAGCAGCCCACCACCATTGGAGCCACCTCTGCCACGTGGGCAGCCTGCCAAAGCTATTGCCACAGCCACCACTGCTGCAAGAGCAGTGACCTGTTACCACAGGAGTAGCCACAGCAGCCACTGCTGCTATGCATGTGGACCACCACCAACCACGTGACTGCACTGAACACAAGGAGAGTCATCAGCAGAGTCCAAGGAAGGTGAGTGAGCATTGACCCACAATCCAGTGGCCCAACCCACAAGGTGAATTATGCTGCCTGCCTTGGTGGTGTACCATAGGGCATGGGAGCTTTGTGGGCAGACCATATGACTGCCTTGACCCAGGGAGAGACATGTGCAGAACTCCTGGGGAAGGCAGAAACCCAGGGTAGCCAGAGTAAGGAAGAAAATGTCCAGTGCACCTATCAGGGTGACAGGATGCTAGCCAGAGTGCCAACAAGCCTGTCCACTGTCACCCACCCCAACCAAAGAGTGAAAGGGCACCCAGGTGCTTCTCCCAAGAATTTAAGATCTCACCCATATCCTTGATGACCCAAGGCAGTGTCAATAACCTCAGCAAGGAAAAACTAAGAGCTCCAGTGCCTAGGCCACAGAGGCCCTCACAA